CTGCCTGGGCCCATGTCTCCTGCCCTGGCTCAGAGCTTCTGTCCCCTCCTCATTCCTGGGCTTGGGGCTTTCACCATCTGCAGGTCCTGCCTGGGTTCAAGAACCTGGACCAGGGGCTGCCATCGCCTCCCTGCGGCTTTCACCCATCAAAGCTCCTGCCTAAGCACCAGGTTTCCGCCCTCCACGCCTCTCCTTGGCTCCAGCCCAGTCCCATGTCTCCTGCCCTGGCTCAGAGCTTCTGTCCCCTCCTCATTCCTGGGCTTGGGGCTTTCACCATCTGCAGGTCCTGCCTGGGTTCAAGAACCTGGACCAGGGGCTGCCATCGCCTCCCTGCGGCTTTCACCCATCAAAGCTCCTGCCTAAGCACCAGGTTTCCGCCCTCCACGCCTCTCCTTGGCTCCAGCCCAGTCTTGGGGCTGCTCCCTCCCCCAGGGCTCAAGCTAGAGCTCAGTGTGTGCAGACTCAGGGCTTCTGCCCCCCCCCCCTCAGTTCCTGCCTGGGTTCATGGACCTGGGCGGGGGGCTTCCACCCTCCAGGGCTTTGGACTCTCCAGGGCTTCAGTCAGGGATCCGGTCACCTGAGCTTGGGGCTTCAGCCCCCACAATCCCTGCTCGAGTCAGGGTTTCCACCCCATGGCTCCTGCCAGAGCATGGGCATTTTTCGAATGGTCCAGGGCCCCGGGGCACCACTGGCCTTGACTAGCAGCCAGGAGCCCACCCGTAGGGGCTCTCCCAGCAGCAGTGGAGAGATCCGACGGACCTCTACCTACAGGAGTTTCCTCCAGCGGAAGAAAGCTCTGCAGCTACTGCCTTTAGAGCTGGGCTCTGAAGGCAGCACCAAAATTAGTATAGCAATGCTGTGTTCCCTACAACAGCTCTGGGACGCCCCCATTCCCTTTTGAATCAGGATACCCACCCTGAAACAATACCCTGAAACTTCAGTTGCAAATATCTGAAACCATAAAACTGACCAATTTTAAGACCTTGTGGGCACGAAATTGGCCAGAATGAACAGTGAATTCGGTGGGGCCCTAAATACAGGATCCAAAGACAATGAGTTTCAAAGTAGGTCGTAGCTGTAACCATAGGTCAGAGAGCTGTGCCAAAGACTCACCAACTCCAAAAATCCAGGGGCATCATACTGAAAATCTACGCCAGGGTGCAGGATCCTGGGCAAATCAGGGGCATCCCTCTCCAAAGAGTCTCCATCGCCTGAGAGAAGAGTGGAAGCATAGAAGGGTGACGAATCATTCTCATCCATCCAGTCCTCTATGTCCTTGAGCTCTGTGCCTTCCCCAAGCAGCCAGTCAGGCAGGACTGAAGGTGGGACCTCAGAGGCGGGCAGTTCTGTCTCTAGGTGTCCTGGGAAATCAGCAGAGGAGGCGGAGGCACTTGGAGTTTGATTAGTAGTGAAAAGAGATGGGGTGGCAGAGGAGGTTGCCTCAGAGTCTGGTAACAAAGTAGTGGGAGACCACGTGGAATCTGTGATATCGGGTGGAGAGGTTAATGCTGTCACAACTGGCTGCAAAGTATTGAAGGCAGCAGTGGTGAGCGGGTCAGTGAACCACACTTCTGGGGCCAGGGTTGGTTCAGAGGCAGGCAGAGCTGTATGGTGTGCAGTCTCTGCTAGACTGGTAGTGACAGACACTGCAGTGGGGTCTGCGGCAAGGTTGGTAGTAGCAGGCTTGTCTGTTAGGGGCAGCACTGTGGAATCGGTGGTGGTGCCGAGAAAGGTGAGAGTGGCTGTAGTGGGAGTTGCTGGGTGCGTGTGGCTAAAGGTCCCTGTGGGATGAGCAGTCATGGCAGAGACTGCAGGCAAAGTGGTGGAGACTGACTCTGTGATGGGAGTGTGGTTAAGCTGAGTGACTGGGGGAGTGATGGGTTTGGTGGCCACAGTCCAAGTGCTGGGGGAGGTCATGGTGGTGGAAGCAGCTGAAGAAAGTAATGGACTTGAGGTTGGAATCTGTGTCTAAAGGGAGCCATTGAGATGGAGGTGGAGAGAGAGAGAGAATCACCAAGTGAACATGAAAACAGCAACATGTGGGAGAAAGACACAAGTGAAAAACAACAGTCAGTCAGATTCCATGGCAAAAGGGAATTCCTAGGAGGCCATTTGACCCTTCTGAGATGCCTACTGAGACAGAGGTGCAATTCTCATGCAGCTAGCTTCGCTCAGCACAGGGAATAAAAGCTAACACTGCACATCTTGCGGGCCTCAAATTCTCCAAGTAGGAAGGATTAGCTCATCTCTCAGATTCTCCAATCACAGTTTTATCCACCCTTCTTCACACCTGTCCCTCTCTGCTCATCTCCTTTGCTCTGCAACGTGGCCCAGCCTGGCTTCTCTCTCGCTCTCTACCTGCCACCATACTATTAGTTCCCTGATGGTTTCCTCCCAGCTTCCTGATCCATAAAGCTTCTCCAGATACCGCAACTCAGGTGCAGGCAGGAGGTTTCTGAGGAGTCATGACACACTCTGAGTAAGAGGCCCAACCTGCCTCAAAGCCCTGCTGCTGCAAATCTCTCTTCAGCTCCCACCCCACAACAAACTGTGGAAGCTCAACAACGCAGCCAGCCTCCAAGATCCAAGATCCCCATTGTAGTATCTAAGGGGACAGATACTCCTCTTGACACTCTCAGCCCTACAGCAGCAAGTTGGCTGCCATCTTAATCTGAGTAAAAACCCGATCTTTCTGTATTTCAGTGGCATTCTTAGTGGCTGAGATCTGTGTAGGAAACAAACCCTCTCGTTGTAGATAATGGTTCCCTCTTCACAGGTGGCTTTGTGGGTGCAGAGGTGTTGGTGGACGCACCAGTTACATCCCCAGTGACTGCTCACACATCCCTGACACCTGAAAACACAGCACAAGAATAGCCACTAAGGAGACACAGCAGACCAATCAGAATTGTCAGAGCCCTCAGATGGGGATCAACATGTACTCACGGTGCTGACTTCCTCTGCAAGGCCACTGTAGGACAGTCATAGAAAGAGAAATCCACTGAAGCAATGAAGACATCATGGAAACGCACGACTAGCTTTATGGTGATGTGCTCTGAAAATGGAAATAAAAACGCCACCTCTAAGAAACTGGAGCTCTGAGAGCGCCCCGTGCAGCGCTATAAGACAGGTAGACATAGGGTATGCTTTATGGCCAGACACATTATCTCCACAGTGTAGCTGGGAAGCAAGCCTCCTAGAATAAGCCCAATTTTCATCCTCCCTTAATGTAACCGAAACCAAATCAATGGAAAGCTTATATCTAGATCTCTAGATAGCACACCTACCATCACAGCAAGGGGTTAAGTTAGTGCACAAACCAGGAGGTAAACCAGGAAAGGTGCTTATAAGACCTCTGGCGTCAAATCTGTTGGAGGTGCAAGAATTTTTGTGTGGTCTGATTTCAGCTACCCTTTTACCTGCCAGCCCCAAGAGGGGCTAGTTCTCTTTGTCTCCGGGAGTATTAGACACTTCCACTGTTTTCTTGCTGACATACTGGATGAAGAAACAGTAACACTTGTTGTTAGAGGCAGATCCTGCAGACAGAGCTCTTCAGATTGTTTTCTATAAATTCTTTCCAGTGGTGTAGCTGTGTTGGTCCCAGGATGTTAGTGAGACAAGGTGGGCGTAATATCTTTTATTGGGCCAACTTCTGCTGGTGAGAGACAAACGTCTAAGCGCTGAGTCATCTCAAGCGCCTTTTTCTCCCACCAGCAGATAAAAGATAGGACTTTCCATGCCTTGTCTCCATTTTCATAGCACATTGTATTATCTTTCTTCATAACAGCACCAGCCTACCACACTGGACACACACTTCCACACCGAACAAAAGAGGGAGACCTAGCCAGCTCATCTCAGGAAGCTGGCCAGACTGCCCGACCACCAAGTAAATGAGCAGTCTGGGCTGCCCTTCCCTGCAGGGCAATCCAGTCCGCTGTTCACTTCCTCTCTTCAGGCAGGCATTAAGCGCTCCCGGCTCCACAATGCCCACCACCGCTCCTTGCTCTCACTGAGGCAGAAGCCAACCTCCATTTTCCTAGAGTCTTGGCATATGAACATGGGGCTGCACCAATTCTCATTGTTTTCGATGTGAATGAAACCAGGCAACATTCAGGGAGGACAGCAACTGCAGTACTGTTGGCAGCTGAAAGTGACAGAAGAATGTGGAGTTCAGAAGGAGGTTGCAGGGAAACAAAAGGGATGAAGGGAGGAGCACTGAGGGTGAAGTTTTTGGAGAATGTTGGGAATAACTTCCTGGTACAAGTGCTGAAGGAACCGACCAGGGCCATGAGCATCTTGACCTGCGCTTGCAAACAGGGAGGAACTAATAGGGGAAGTAGAGGTGGGTGACAACCTGGGGAGCAGTGATCATGAGATGGTAGATTTCAGGATCCTGACAAAAGGAAGAAAGGGGAGGAACAAAATACACACCCTGGACTTCAGAAAAGCAGACTTTGACTCCCTCGGAGAACTGATGGGCAGGATTCCCTGGGATGCTAACATGAAGGGGAAAGGAGTCCAGGAGAGCTGGCAATATTTTAAAGAAGCCTTATTAAAGGCACACAGAGAAACCATCCCAAAGTGCAGCAAGAAATGCAAATACAGTGGGCGACCAGATTGGCTTACCAGGGAAATCTTTGGTGAGCTTAAACACAAAAAGGAAGCTGACAAGAAGAGGAAACTTGGACAGATGACTAGGGAGGAGTATAAATATAGGGAGGAGAGAATCAGGAAGGTGAAAGCTCAATTGGAATTGCAGCTAGCAAGGGATGTGAAGGATAACAAGAAAGGCTTCTACAGGCATGTTAGCAATAAGAGGGTGATCAGAGAGGGTGTGGAGCCCTTACTGGATGAGGGCGGTAACCTAGTGACAGATGATGCAGGAAAAGCTGAAGTACTCAATGCTTTCTTTGCCTCTGTCTTCACAGACAAGGTCAGCTCCCAGACTAATGCACTAGGCAACACAGTATAGGAAAGAGGTAGACAGCCCTCGGTGGAGAAAGAACAGGTTAAGAACTATTTAGAAAAGCTAAACATACACAAATCCATGGGTCCGGATTTAATGCATCTGAGGATTCTGAGGGAGTTGGCAAATGTCATTGAGGAGCCTTTGGCTATTATCTTTGAAAACTTGTGGCGATCAGGAGTGATCCCGGCTGATTGGAAAAAGGCAAATGTAGTGCCCATCTTTAAAAAAGGGAAGGAGGACAATCCAGGGAACTACAGACCAGTCAGCCTTACCTCAGTCCCCAGAAAAATCATGGAGGGGATCCTCAAGGAATCCATTTTGAAGCACTTGGAAGAGGGGACAGTGATTAGCAATAGTCAACATGGATTCACCAAGGGCAAGTCATGCCTGACCAATCTGATTAGCTTCTATAATGAGATAACTGGCTCTGTCAACATGGCGAAGTCGGTATATGTGATATATCTTGACTTTAGCAAAGCTTTTGATACGGTCTCCCACAATAGTCTTGCCAGCAAGTTAAGGAAGTACGGATTGGATAAATGGACAGTAAGATGGACAGAAAGCTGGCCAGATTGTTGGGCCCAACGGATAGTGATGAATGGCTCGATGTCAGGTTGGCAGTCGGTTTCAAGCGGAGTTCCGCAAGAATTGGTTCTGGGGCCGGTTTTGTTCAATATCTTTATTAATGACCTGGATGAGGGGATGGATTGCACCCTCAGCAAGTTTGCAGATGACACTAAGCTAGGGAGAGTGGTAGATACACTGGAGGGCAGGGATAGTGTCCAGAGTGACCTGGACAGATTAGAGGGTTGGGCCAAAAGAAATCTGATGAGGTTCAACAAGGACAAGTGCAGAATCCTGCACTTGGGATGGAAGAATCCCAAACATTGGTACAGGCTGGGGACTGACTGGCTAAGTAGAAGTTCAGCAGAGAAGGACCTGGGGATTACAGTGGATGAGGAGCTGGATATGAGTCAACAGTGTGCCATTGTAGCAAAGAAGGCTGATGGCATATTAGGGTGCATTAGAAGGAGCATTGCCAGCAGATCTAGAGCAGTGATTATTCCCCTTTATTCTGCACTGGTGAAGCCACACCTGGAGTACTGAGTCCAGTTCTGGGCCCCCCACTATAGAAAGGATATGGACGCACTGGAGATGGTCCAGTGGAGACCGACCAAAATGATGAGGGGGCTGGAGCACATGACCTATGAGGAGAGGCTGAGGGATTTGGGATTTGATAGCAGCCTTCATCTTCCTGAAGGGAGGCTCCAAAGAGGATGGAGAGAGGCTGTTCTCAGTAGTGACAGATGGCGGAACAAGGAGCAATGGGCTCAAGTTACACTGGGGGAGGTCTAGGTTGGAGATTAGGAAAAACTATTTCACTAGGAGGATGCTGAAGCGCTGGAATGGTTTCCCAAGGGATGGGGTGGAATCTCCATTCTTAGAGGTGTTAAGTCTCGACTTGACAAAACCCTGGCTGGGTTGATGTAGTTGGGGTTGGTCCTGCTTTGGGCAGAGGGCTGGACCTGATGTCCTCCTGAGGTCTCTTCCAGCTCTAGGATTCTATAATTCTAACCTTGACAAAACCATGTTCAGGTCTCATTCAGGTTCTAGGTTCCTCACACCTGGGTATAATCTGCCCAAACCTTTAAGGAACCACCCCACCAATCAATCTACAAACACTGAGTACCCTCTAGACCAGTGTTTCCCAATTTTATTTGGCCGAGGAACCCTTTTCAGCTTTTCAGAATTTCAAGGAAACCTTGGGGAGGGGTGGACTTACCAATTCATGAAAATCCCCACCAATGCATAAAAATAACATTCCTTCCCCAAGACCCCCACCCCCTTTTCTTAAGGCCTCATCCACTCTGTTCCCCTCCTGTCCATCACTTGCCATCCCCCGCCATTATACACTCTCACTAGGTTGAGACAGGAGGTGTGGGGTGGGAATGAGGGATTTGGGTGTGGAAGGGGTAAGAAGTACAAGCTCTGGGAGGGAATTTGGATGCAGGAGAAGGGGATATTGGCTCGGGGAGGAGGTTCCAGGCCCAGGAGTGTTGGGCTCAGGTGGAAGGTTGGGGTGCTGAGCAAGCCATGGGCTTGTGGATGTGAGGGTGCAAGAGTTTGGGCTGGATATGTGAGGGACTCAGGGCAAGAAGGTTGAGCATTATGGGCTCAGGACACAGATATGTGATGTGTGGATGGTGCAGGAGTGTTGTGGCAGAAGACTGAGGATGTGGGGATGCTGGAGTTTGGGGACGTAAGAGGCTCAGGACAGGGGGTTCCAGTGTATGATTTGGGGTCAGGTGGTGCAGGAGTGTTATGATGCTGAAGTTAGATGAGGGTTTGGTCCCAATTGGGGGCTTGTTGACCAGACTTCATTTTGAAATAAAATATTATGTCAAACTCAAAAGCTTTTAGCATTGTCTTTATTTATGAGCGGGGTAAGGAACCTGTTTTGAGTCAAGGGTCACTGACCCACAGAAAAGTCAGTTGGGGCCACACAAGTGAGATGCAAAAAAACCCAAACAACCCTCCAAAAAACTCCAAGCCTCACTAATGTGGTCCCAAATGTGCTGGTGGGGGCAGGGGACAGAGTGCTAGTGGGTGCAGGGGCTGGGGAGAGGGTGCTGCTGGGTGGAAGGATGCTGGCTCAGGTGGCAGGGTGCTGGGGCAAGGTGCTGGGGCAGGCAGGTGGTGGAGTGCTGGGGTCAGGGACATGGTCCTGCTGGGCACTAGGATGACTGGCAGGCTGCTGGGACAAGGAACAGGGTGCTGCTGGGTGCTAGAATGGATGGCAGGGTGCTGGGGCCAGGGTGGTGCTGAGTCCTGGGGTGTGAGGCAGGGTGCTGGGGCCAGGGACAGGGTGGTGCTAGGTGCTAGGGTGGATGGCAGGGCTGCCAAGGAGTGGGATGGGGATAGGGTGCAGGATCTAGGAAGGAGGTGGGAGGCGGAAGGGGTCAAGGTCTGAGTGGTAGGTAGGGTGCAGAAGCAGGCTGGATGTAGGGTGTTTGGCCAGGGGGAGAGAGCAGTAGCAGAGTGGGGGGAGGGGATTCTAAGAGGGAGGTGGGGGGGCAGAAGGGGGC